TATCAGAAGTAGAAGAGTGGGAATGGCGAACATTCAAGCGATGACTTGACACATGTGTAAAGCGTACAAAAAGAACAGAGTATAGCTTCTCGTATAATGTTGAAATAGAAACGAAAAAAACGTTATGAAGTGGATAGAAAATACTGCATCTACGCATGTGTTCGATTGAAAACGTGCGTGATCGATAACATTTCATGAGCTACGCGCACAATCGCTGCATTAGCATAGGAAGAATAAAATGTAAATAAAAATTACATTTGAAAATGCACCAATCAAAAAAGAAACTATCGAAGATAGTGGTAAGTCATTCAAAATCACCTGAAAACGCTAGACATCACTAGATATCAAGAAAAAGCATCAATAAATCACAAAACGTTTGAAAAAATCAGAGAAGATAACAAAAAGATTTATGATGCATCAGAACAATGTAAGTGTGGGACTTCTCATCTCTTCAAACAACAGCACATGGATAAACGACACTCATATTCAGGCATCTTCTTCTTCAGTCAATTTTTCTACAATTTTTAAATTTCGTCATCAGTTTTGTAGAACACAAATAAACAAAAACAGGCAACTTTGATTGTTTCTTTTTCTGCTCTTATTTGATTGTGCTCTATGAAATATACCACGTTGATGGCTGTATCAAACGATAAAGCCAATTTTTCTCGGAACATCCTAAAATATCGCAAGTTTTTCTATGATTTGTGATGATCGCGCTTATGACCAAATATGTTAGTTCAAGGATTACACTAGTGATATTCTCCATTGCATTGAATCATTCACACTCGATATCATTACTAGAGTAGGGCGAAAATAACGGGTAGTGCATAAAGAATGACCACTAAGTATTTTGTGAATATCTCTGTCAGTTGTTAATGGTTTAACTTGAATTTTTTTTTCGAAAGATAGCCCGTAAAGTTCTGTACAAAATCCCATAAAAGGAGTTCTTTAAAGGCATAACTAGAAAACTATATCTAGTCAGCAACAAAACTCTCAAAAAAACGTTCACTTTCAAATTTCTATCTTTATTTTTTCCAATTTGCGCTGCTCTTTGATCGCATACAAACAAATCGAATATTCAATTTTATAGCCCATAAAAAGTTCTATAGCTACGTGAGTTCCTATTTGATCTATTGCATACCTATCCTAATAAAAACATTTCATTTATCCTATCTTATTCACCCTTCAAGAATCTTCTATGCAGATTTATCAAAATTTTTACTTAGTTAAGCCAAATATTCTATTAATATGGATTCAGATTTATTATGAACTTGCAGGAAATTATTTTTCTACAACTTATATGCGAGCGAAGTGTCGTAAATACTTTTTCCATAATAAATGGAGCCACTAAAGGAGAGTAATCAGCAACTCCAACCTACTCTTTCAACAAAATCTGCTAGCGGAACGTCATAAATTTGTCTGAAAATTTCTTTTTGAGCTTCATTAAAAACAGTACACGTAACAACATAGGAAACTTGCTTTTAATAGCCTGAAATCTGTTTAGTAAGAAGAAGCGAAACAATTAGTTTTATTTTAAAAAAAGTCACCTTGAAAATTAGGCATTTTAGAATATAGTACTGCTAACTAGATATACTTTTCCAGTTATGATTTTTAAGAGCTCTTTTTATAGGATTTTGTAGAGACTTTTACGTGCTATCTTTTGAAAAAAAATTCAAGTCGAACCATTAACAACTAAGGGAGTCATTCTTCATGCGCTACCCGTTAGTTTAACATGCTGCTAATTTTTCATACAAGCCATATGAATGTGTGTACTATCTGCATGCATGAATCTTTCAGAAGATGTGTTGTCTATATAATTCTATCAACTTATGATCGTTTTCATTAGAACTAACGAATATGATAATCATTCTAATTTAATTCATCATATTTCAATATAAGCTTTCATGATTTCTAAGAGGCTTAACATATCCTATTACATTATAACGGAAAGACTTTAACTCAAAATACATATGAATGATGATATTCATTCGCTATGAAATCTTTCTTTTCATTGAAGGATATCTTGTTTTAGTTTGAATATGCTACTTTTTTTCATGCACCCGTACTAAAAAAGGCAAGGTATCTGACAGAAAAAAAATGATTACTTTCTCATCACGAATAAATAACAACGGCTCTATTTTCACTCTATTATAATATGATTTTTAGTTACCAAGTTTGATTTTTTTATTGTAACGATTTTAAATAGAAGAAAAGTTAGTGCTCATGAAATTACGTTTTATTCTGCTCTTCTTTTTTTTTTATAAAATCGCGTCATTTTCATACAGAGCATACGCTTATATAGATGATTGGAAAAGAGAAGAAGGGGGAGGGAGGAGAGAAAGGTATAATCAAGAAGAAAAGGAAAAAGAACAGAGAAAGAGAGGAAGACGTGTACAACGATGTTGTAATATCAAATGATCAACTAATAAACGATATGCAAGTATGAAACATGGAACAATGACGTCTTATGTAACACTGAATCATATATACGAGTTACAACATCACACCTGTCTGATCAATTCCATCTAACAGTGATAGTTGATTGTGATACACAGTAAACATAGCTAGGATTGTCACATTTATTACCAACGTTTTTTCATGTGTGAGTATGGATGTGGGTGGGATGTGGATGTTAATTTTTGCATGGGTTTGAGTGCTTAGTGTTGATGGATCTCGATGTTTGTCTTTTGGAACATAGCCACCTTCAGATGACTAGACCTGCAACGAGAGGTAGACACACACTCACATTCACCCTACATCCCACCCTTTTTATTTTGCCGGCAGATTCTGCACGCCTGGTTTATGATCGTTTTAGTCAAAAAACGTCAGAGATGTACTTATGTGCATCGATCCATGACAAATAGTTATTCATAACTATCTTATTCTACTTTCAAACGTTTATTTTTCATCAAATAAAAGAAGATCTACTATGAAAATTGTGGATTTCATCGGTTTCTTGCGTCATCATCTAGAAAATATTTGTTGTAAATATAAACAAAAATTGATAATATCGTTTTGAGTCAATCTAATTGCTTTTTTTGACAAAAATAAATCAATCAAACTGAATTATCATATAGATCATTCAAGTTCGCTCTTTGTTTTATCGATGGAGAAAAGTTATTGTAGAATTTCTATTTGGTTGAAGACATTTATAATGGAGAACTATTTCAACTTGTTTTCAAATATCTAATTAACTAAAATAAAAAAGTTTCTTATTGTATTTTTATGTTATATTCTATTTCATATTTCTATTTCGAATCGAGACAATAAGAACCATTGAGTTCACATTCTTCTTTGAAATATAATATTTGATTGGCAACTCAGATCAAATGTTCAGTAAAAAGAAATAAAAATGATCGATAGAAATTGTAAAACAGTCAATTTATTATGTATAATTGGTAATAACAAGTGCAATTTATATCAGTAAAAACTACAAATTTGATCAATAAAATATACAGATTTTATCAGCGGGAAAAATAAGTTTAATAAGTATAGAGTACTAGCGGAAACCCGTGCATATTGCACGGTTATTTTTTTCCTTTAATGTATGACCTCAAATCTTCAACGTGTCACTCGGTAAGAACCATACAGACACTCGACATTATGCATATAGATAATCCTACGACGTCATATCCTTATATCGCTTGTAGCTCTTGTACCCATATCTTCTTATAGCCTTAATCCCTTATAATCTTATTCTCTTATAGCCTTAGCCATGGATGTGGGAAGGCATGCATCAAACCCAAACCGTTTGGGAGTATGTGTTTGGCCAAATGAGTTTGGATTTCAGTTTGAGTTTGCTACATCAATTCGCTGAACTACTGAACTTTCAATTTAGTAATATGTATCAAGTCTCTTCTCTATATTTAAAATTTTATCCTATATAGACATCAGCAAAAGCATGTTTCTATGCTTCACATTGTTAAACAGTGTGGGTGTGGGTGTGAGTATGGCTCTTGATGTTGCTTTAGTACTTTTTCATCCACACCCCAACCATCTGAACCCTGAACTGTCGAACAATCTAATAGAGAAAGATGAATTGATAATCAAGGAATTGTATGATTATGTTACTATAAGCGGCTTAACCACTGAACCTCTTTCTCAAAGCAATCATCATTATTGACATTGACACTTCAGTTTATTAATAACATTACTTGGTTTTAAATATTATCTATAGATTAAAAGCCAATATATTAACGTGTGCAATGAGGAATGCGATGAACAGAGAGAAATTGAAAAAAGCGAAAGAGTCATTTTTGAAAGAGCTAGAGAAAGAAACAGATCTAAAGTTAGACTAGTGGAGCAGTCGGTCTAGAAACACTGGCACTACCACCACAGATTAGTAAGGCTGATGTCTCTTTTCTTATGAACTGTGTGATAAGATTATCTAATGTTTACCTAACAAATATCTGAATAGTATGAGACAACTCGTGACATCATATTCTGTAATTTTAAAAGCCACTTCTTCTACATAAGGAATCAATATACATGCAACACGTAGTCTCGCCACTCGATTCAATTTGCTCATAGCTGAAGGGTTTATATGGATCGAATACAATTTAACTGTTCATTGTCTCATCTTTTATTGTGTTGTGTTAATTAAGTTGAGTTAATCACGAAAGAGAAAAACATGCATTGATTCTAATTACTACAGTTCTTAATGACGATGACCCTCTTTTAAATGCTATGTTCCGTGTAGATTGAAGTCATTAGTTACTATTACTATCAGTTTTTTAGTAGAGTTGGCAGAAGCGTTAATGGCCAAGAACTAGTAGTTTAAGATTTATTATCGTGAAAAAGTGATAGGTAACTTCGATCGTTCCATAAGAACGTAAAATGAGTTTAATCCGAAAATAACCTATCGTAACTCTCTCTCTCTCTAACATCCAAAAATTTTCTTTCCACATTTTTGAAAAGCTTTAAGATACATAAAGTTGAAAAAGTAAACAAACATTAAACTAAGATACATGAAAAACAATCACAAAAGAAAAATAATTGATTTAAAATCCCATTTTAATTAAAAGTTTTTGTCCATTGGCACTAAATAATAAATAACCATTTAGTAAACTTCCTAATATTCCAGCAAGAAAACCTTTTGAAAGAAAAAATATCGGATATTTTATTGCACCAAAATAATCAAAATGATGATCTAATCGAAAACATAATATATTACATGTACCAAAAACAATAAGACCTAATATCAATGAACCAAATATTGCTTTATAATTAAAATATCGATCAGTAATAAATATATTTATTAATGTTCCCATTATTGAACCCATTCCAATACCACAAAAAAATAATGTCCAAAGTATTTTATAAAAAATATCTTTAAAACCAGAAAAAAAAGAAATACCTATTAATAAAAATAATAATTCAGCGCCAATAGATGATATAATAAATAATTTCATTGGTCGAAGATAATATTGTCGTCGTTTTTTTGCTAACATCATTGTTGATGATAATGAATTATATTCATCATGATTTGTTATTGATGATAATAATTCTTGTTCAGTTTGTGCCATTATTTTAATATCGCGTTGGCGTTATTTGATAAATCAATACAAATGTTAATATCTATTAAAACAAAGGAAAGAATATTAGAAGAATAGTAGTCTTCACAAAGTTTTTCATTGTTTATACATATCTAGAATGTAAGAAGAAACTCATGCCTGAATATATTACAAATCATGTAAAATCCTCCACTGATTTATGATATAAGAAATACAAGATCAAATAAAATATATTATTATAAAAGAAATAAATTGAAAATATTATTTATGCAGAAAGATGAGAAATGTTAATTAAACCACTTTAGAGGTTAACATTCTGTGTGTGCGCAACTTATACATCTTAAATATATGATATAAAGAAAAACTGAATTGAAACAAGAAAGAAAAGAGAAACATATGTTCCTTTTTCACAAGAGAGAGAGAGAACGGTTATCTCTTTTCGAGCTGAAAACATTCTTGTTTGATTCTCTCGTTTCTGTATACACAACAAGGTCAAAGATTAAAACAGCATGCACCATGAGATGTGCATAAGATAAAAGAAATACAAATGAAAAAAAAAGTACCTAACAAACAAAATATTCTATATGGTTACATAAATAATATGTTTAGATTTTATTTTCAATATTAACAGAAAGTACAAAACATTGCTGTCTGTTAAACAAAAAACTGGTCGTGAGTATTTTTGCAGTAACTCGATAATGGCAATGGCTAGCAACCTGCAGCTTGCACCAACTGAAAGAGTAGAAGTTGGGACATCTTTTTCTCCGATAGTGTATAAGACGAAATCCATTTAAAAGTAATCATCTTCGAAAAACATGCAAAAGAATGCATGAAAATGACTTTCCATCTGGATAAAATTTTGATTTTGCCTTTTGATTTAGATAGAGGGAGGGGTCTGAGATCTATAGCTCAAGATACAATGCGCTTTTTTACTTTTCATTATATTTTTACCGAAATTCCACGCTATTATAAGAAAAATGCAAAAACTTAGTAAAAAAATCAATAAAATTCCCTATTATTTGCGCATGTAAATAGATGATTCCATTTGCTCAACGTTAGAGTGTAATAGGAGAACCATTTGCATTGTATCTTGAACTATAGATCTCAGACCTCTCTATCTAAATCAAAGGACGACATCAAAATTTCATCTAGATGGAAAGTCATTTTCATGCATTCTTTTGCATATTTTTCGAAGATGATTACTTTTAAATGGATTTCGTCTTATACATTATCGGAGAAAAAGATGTCCCAACTTCTACTTTTTCAGTTGGTGCAAGCCGCTGGTCGCTAGCCGTTGTCATTATCGAGTTATTTCAAAAACACCAACAGCTAGTTTTGTTTTAACAGACAGTAGATACTTTTCTTTTTTTTAAAAGAATCTCATGATAATGTGATCCAGAAGAAAGAATACAGAACGGGAGAGTGAAAATATCAAGCTATTTTATTCACACACAACAAAAATGATTAGAATAATTCTCACACTTCTACATTATTTTGTAAAGCAGTGATAGGAAAATAAAGACTACGACATATGTGTTGTTAAGAAAAATGTTTTTGTTTTACATGACTGCACCAACTCACGATCGTTTAGTAGTACGATGAAAACATTTGGTTGATGACTTCTTCGAGACTAAAATCCGCTCACAAACTTTAGAAACCACGTGGTCAGTATTATTATCGTAGGGAACCACATTTTTTTCGCCTATTAAAGTCTTCATCCACAATCGATTGAAACTGAAATTAGGCTCAGCTTGGACTGCAATTAAGCCTCCCTTTGCATCTCGTAATTTATTGGTTGAAGTTGCATAAGATAATTCTTGAAATTTATGACTATTTTCACCATAGGCCGTCGATACTATAGGAATGATTACTGTTGCTGATTGAATCACTGGAACTACGTATTCCCATATATCGTCCCAAGATTCCACATGTTCATATTCGACCCAAATTGGTATTGGTATTCTCTTGTGCAATTCGTTTACGAAATTTTCACAAAATTTCTCATCAGTTCTGTCATAACTAATGTAAATCATCGGTGACTTTTCTTTTTTCGAGTTGTTCGATGATGTTTTTTGCTGAAGATTACACAAGATTCGTTTGGCATCATCTTGTTTTGGACGTTTGGCAAGACTTTCGATAATTATGCAAAACTGATTGATATCAGTTAATTCTTTCCGATATTCGGGATAATTTGAAATCCGTAACAGAATTTTAAGTAAATATTTTGCAGCACGTTTTTCAAGGTCATTTGGTTCTCTATCCAGTAATACTCCGTATATAGATAAGAGATATTGTGCAAAGAATTTGATCGGTTTCCTTTCATCATCCGGTTCACCGCCTAGAATATTTTTTATTACATACGTATTCGAGAAAGCACGATGTAGTAATTCTAGCAATTCCGACAGATGACATCCATTATACCGTAAATCGTCGGTGTCACGAGTATCCTTACACCATTGGTACAAAGTTTTGCTGACCCAAAGAATGAACTCTTTGTTTTCTTCTGGTTGCTCATCACTTGTAGTTACTGCAATCAATGCCATACCAAATGATAATTGTAGGCTCTCATTGTTTTTACCATCGACTAATGGTTTATATTTCATCAAAACTTCGAATGCACTTTCCTTGCGTAACAATTCCAAGCCTATCTTGTCTCTCGATAAATTGTGAATAATAGAAAATATTGGGTAACCCAGTTTGCTGATATGAAATGCGAATTGTTTTGTGCAAATCCATCGAATTGACTTTTCAACACAACTAACTTTAACGAGCAAGGGAATCAGAGCAATTTTGTCGGACAGATTCCATATAAGAGTTAAAATGCTAGTTATTACTTCCAGTAGTATTGAAGAGTTGTGGTTCTCTATACCGATCAGATATTTATCAATGAATGTCAATAGAGAGCTAATAACGGACGGGTAATGTTTTTCAAATTCATAAGTCGATCGTAAGACTGCTAAAAAAGTAAACCTGTAAGCACATTCGATGTATTTTTGGACAAGTTGGATAAAATTAATGTTTTCTTGTTGTGAGCATTGTTCAATAGTTGTGACAGAATCTAAACGATTGAAAATATTACCATCATGTGCTATATTTACTATATAAATAGTTTGTGCAGAAAAGAAAATCAACACTAATACCAACACATATTCTCAATTAAATCCTATTCTGGTACAGGAATTTTCAGTTTTTGAACTGAATGTAAACAACTCAACACTAGTAGGCATAAAAAACATTACCTATGGTTGACGTCGTCTGATTTGAAAGAAGTCGTTCAAGGCATATTTTAACAAAGTCATCTTCAGCAAGGTTCATAAGGATTGAATCTAGCATGTCGCTGGCACGCTCTTGATAATTACCTAACCTTTCGCTAATAATATCTTTTAAATAAGCGAATACTTTATGAACCATCGATTGAAAAGATGTTCGTGATATTATAAGGCCAGATTGATCGATAGTACAGATGCGAATAACTATGTTGAGTACCGTGATGAGAAATATTGCGCGTCTCTGAGGAGTCATTCTGTTAATTATATTTTCCAGATTTTTATTTATATAATCCAAGATTCCATCTATTTTATAGACATTTAAGGTGTCTCCTGTCGTATTAGGAAGACTATTGGAGTCAATTAATAACTTAAAAATATTGTCCATTTCTTGAAGAAGTTTAAAATAATTAAGCGTTTTTTTTAGTAATTTGTTTGAATCTCTCTCTTCTGAGTTCGTTGGATCGTTTTCTGTCATCTAAAACAGAGACATGTCACTAATACATGCATATGAGATGAGTTAAATAACACATCTGAGATTAATTCGTCCACGTTTCTTTCAATCATTGTCTTTCCTCAGTTTCTCATCGATTACAAGTAGCAAAAAAAACATTTCATTTCAGTGACTTGCTTCACCAAGAAGAAAAGATCTCATTATATATATATATAAAAGGAGCAAAGAAAAAATCAAGCTGAGGAAGACGTATAAATTTTTGCTTGAATATTACAAAGAAGAAGTAACAGCGGGAGAAATAGCTCTTACTCGTTAAAAGAAAGAGAAGGATCGTTAAAAGAAAAAAAACCGCACTCGACTAGGCAATGATGCATCAAATAAATATTTTACTAGTCCCTGCTAATATTAAATTCTGTCGGTATTTTAATCGCATCTGTAGCAAGAACAGAAAGAAATATGAGAAATGCTTATTCTTTAAATTTCTATTGGTCTTCGCCTTGCGCATGTTTACTCTACAAAAAAATAATGATGCCGCTGCATCATTTTTTTTTTCATTGTAAAGAATAATTTGCCTGCATTTCTTTTTCTCCTGTTGCGCTCATAGAACATAATAATTTCAATGTCGCATTTTCTAGAACAAAGACAAGTAATATCGAAATATGAATTTATTAAGTGGTCGTAATTCAGCATCTAATGATGTATGTGTTTTGCATTTCTTTCTTTTTCTTCATTTTGTGTTCTATTTTCAATATCTATGATAAGTCTGATCTTTGGAGTGATGCCATGGATCGGTTGAACTTTCAGAAACGAACATGTACGACGTTCATTCCAAAAGAGTAAGATCATCTGATTTTTTCTGAAGGTTCGAATAATGAAATGCTACTCGATTACTTAGAACAAATAAAGAATCTTGCGTCTGCAACTATTATCATTCTGAAAGTGAACCGTCTTCGTTCATCAAAACATGGGATTTGGAATCGCACACTAGGAAAGAAGATACTAAAAGCTATGGGATACTACCTCAATTAAAACGTCCTGTAAGTTATGAAGTTGTCTAATAAAACAAAATAATTTTGTTTCTCTTTTTTTTATCCTAGTATTTACGATGTGATATTAAGACAGAACTCGATCAACTCTGCTTAGTGTTATTAGGAGTATGGGATACACCCGTACCTGGTCTTATCATGCGAATGATGAGTGATGTAGACTCGACGCCGAACATTAAAATACAGAAAGAATTCTTGCAAGCTATTTCAGATGCTGCTGTTGCATCGGGTAAGCCTAAGTAGTCATTTGAGATTTATAAAAAAAAAAAAACTATTGTCGAATTCTAGATGCATGGATTATAACAAGTGGTTACAAGGAAGAGAGCATTTCAGAATTGATCGGTGAAATAGTCTACAAGAGTCAAATAAAAAATCCTGAGATAAATTTCAGTGCGATTGCTGTTGGTAAATGGGGCAACATTCACGATTGTCATAAACTTGAAGACAGGTTTGACAAATCTATCTTTTGCAAAACATCTTCCAATATAATCGATTGTTAACTATTTGAATCTTTATCCATGACTTTCTTTTATCATATCGATGTTCGATGCTCTATTCTTTTAGGAGTTCTGTCAGCCAATATTCACCCCATAAAGGAGGACATGGACGATACAAGCTAGAATCAAATCATACACATTACATTTTTTTCGATGATGGTACATGTGATTCGTTGGACACTGGTGAATTTGCTTCAAACCTTGCTCGAGAAATATCACGTGGAGCAAGACGCAAAAGTCAGCATTTCCCCGAGCATATAATTCATAAAATTTTCCAGCATATTTGTGTTTTTTTTTAATTTAGTACCATTAATTACTATTCTAGTAGGCGGTACTCTTCATGCAATTTCATCGATATTCACTGATTTACAAAAACAAATTCCAATTGTTATTGTCGAAGTAAGTTGTGCATATTTAAAAAAAAAACAAGCAACAAATATTAACTTTCGTTTGAATTACACAGGGAAGTGGACAGTTGGCTGACATATTATGTAAATACCTGAAGTTAACTGAAAGTGAGTGAATTCTTTTTGAGAGTATCCTTTAACTATGTATTTAAGGCACTTGTTAGAAGTATAGTTTCGTTCGTAAACAATCAAAATATCTGAAAGTTTGAAGAAAGAAATAAGTAGAAAAGTCTTGAAAGTGTGTACAAAAATTCTTGCTCCACCGAATGATTTGCTCATGATTTTTTTGAAAATAACTTTAGAAACATAAGCTTTCACGTTTTTTTCTTGTACTCGTCACTATTGTTTAGCAGAGTCTGAGTTTCAGAATTTTCTCTGTTGAAATTTGATATCTCTTTTGCTTTAAATTTCTGGAAAAGAAAAAGCATCCCTACACTGAAAAAAAGTCATTTCTGTCTACAAATGCACCTCTTCCAAGGGGGAAATGACGTACTCCCGTACTCCGAGTACAATGGGAGTGCGGGAGTACATGGGAGTACATCGAAGCAGGATGTTAATTTAACTTCTAAAACATTTTAATAAACTATAAAATGGATATTATCCAATGGGATCATCCATAGGCCCTCAAGTGCTCTTATATGGCGATATGCATAGGTAGTCAAGGGCTATCCTATGGAGGTACCCATAGTTCCTCCATGTCTATATTATAAGGATACCCATAGATCCTCAATGCCTATATTATAAGGGTACCTATAGGTCCTCAAGTGCTATTATACGGCGGTACCCATAGGCTCTCAAGAGCTATCCTATGGGAGTACCAGAGGTGAAGAATTTGCCACAAAAATAAAACTTTTCTCCAACTAGCAAAGTTTTTGCGAAAAATTTCCCTCACTATAAAAGTTAATGAGAAAACGAATTATTCTTGTTTAAAATATTTATTCAAAAAAGAAGAAATGGAAAATCCAAATATATGTGACTTGTGAAAGAAGAACGAAAGAAAAATACCAAATGAACGAGAAAGAATGGAGAGGAAAGTAGAAAAATGCCATATGATATACATGTAATGGATAAGTGAATGAATATCTCATTTATTCTCTTATGGACTATGACTATACAGGGTGGGCCATAGACAACACCCCGATAAGAAACTTGAAGATCTCCATTACGGCTCGTGTAAATGAGCTGATTTTTTTTATCAATGATAGAGACATGTTCAAAGTTTATATCCATAAAAGACATGCCTAGAGAGATCCTCTGTTAAGTGTCAATATTGATCTCAACAAAAATATTTATTTTTTCACGTATAGGAAAAACAATATATTTACCAAAAGTCTCTCTAAGCATGTCTTTACGGAGATAAACTTTGAACATGTCTCTGTTATTGATAAAAAAACTCAGTTTGTTTCCTGAAGCCGTAGTGGGGATATTTAATCTTTTTTTCGACAAAGTATGACTTTTGCGCCACCCTGTATATTACTTTTTTCCTTATACGTGAAAAAGTAATTTTTTCATTGAGATCAATATTGATAACTTAACAAAGGATCTCTTTAGACACGTCTTTATGGATATAAACTTTGAACATGTCTCTATCATTAGTAAAAAAAATCAGCTCGTTTACACGAGCCGTAATGGAGATATTCAAATTTCTTATCGGGGTGTTATTTATGACCCACCCTGCATATTAATCATCCTAGTGGTTGTGTACGTATATGTACACCCAATAACAGCTATATGTGATAACGGAAAAATGACAGAAAGTAGTAACATCGCATTAAGGAAAAGAACAAAATGAAAACTGGAGAAGACAAATGTTTAACGAAACTAAAAGACAGGAAATGTGTAAGACCTTAACGATGTATAGAATATAAATCAAAGTTTTTTTAACATTCAATTTAATTTATTATTCCATAAAGGTTAACAATACTCAAGAACACTGTTAGACACACACATAAAATAGGATTTGGAGGAGAAAGAAAGAAAAAAAATAAAAAATAAAAAAGAGCACATCCAAAGGACCATCATACTCTTATTACTTCATAGTCAGCTTCCAATGTAAACAATCCCATCTCTCATTTTATGTTAGCAGAAAACTGGTAAGATAAGTTCATGATAAAAATTAAAAAAAGGATCATATTTTACAACCATTTGTTTACGCAATTATTAGCATATAGTTTTCAACAAAAACCTCGTTCAAAAATTTTATAGATATTCATGGTGGTTTTCCAGAGAAATATTTCAAAACAAAATAAATAAATCAAGGTCCGTTCAGAAAACTATAAAATTTCCCCTAAAATATAGGGATACCCATAGGCTCTCAATGCCAAAATTATAAGATACCCACAGGCCCTTAAGGGCTATCCTATAGTGGTACCCATAGGTCCTCAAGACCTGCCGCCATGGTTGAGTGGTTACGTTGTTCGACACGTACCACAAGATACTGTATTCAAACCTCGGTACCACCAGCTATGGATTGATCCTGGACAAACCACTAACGATTGTTTGTCTCGGGTCACCCGTCCGATACCCTGCTGATTGCATTGCCGACATACAAAATAGCTTCCGCAGTTTGTATGTGGTTAGTCAGTGTCTATGAGGAGCTCAAGTGATTGAGCGAGAAGAACTGTGCGTCAAGTCGGCCTTCTGTCCAGAGCTGCAACTAGTAATAGTTGTAGGAAAAATATCGGGCTTATGAAACTCTCCTTGGATAGCACCCTACATCGAAAGGTAATCGAAAGGCAAGGGTACTCTTCTTCTTCCTCAAGACCTATATTATGAGGATACCCATAGCTCCTCAATGACTATATTATGAGGATACTCATAGCTCCTCAATGACTATATTATGAGATACCCATACCTCATAAATATCTATACTATGGAGGTATTCATAGATGCTTAAGGTCTATACGATGGCGGTACTCATAAGTCCTCAAGACCTTTTATATGGAGGTACCCATAGTATAGGCATTGAGGACCTATAGGTACTTCATAGTATAGGCATTGACGATCTATGGGTACCGTCATAGTATAGGCCTTGAGGATCTATGGGTATCCCCATAATATAATTCTTAAGAACCTATCGGTATCCCCATAGGATAGCGCTTAAGGACCTATGTGTACCCTCCTAATATAGGCATTGAGGACTTATGGATACTCCCATTCGAAAGGAAATAGGAATATTTAAAGTGGACGACGAAGGTACTTGTGATAGTATTTCGTATATAAAAGTTGTTTTTCTTGGACTCTCTGTACTCCCATGTACTCCCGGAGTCCAGGGAGTACATGGGAGTACAGCGAAGTACCGGAGTACGTCGTTTCCCCCTTGATAGAAACTACTCGAATTAACTAACATAAATGGTCATTTCCAAACAATCGAATTCCACCACGAATCTAAATAGAATATAAGCGAATTAATAATTACTAATCGTAACTTACCAATAATAGAATTCTTCCAGAAGTCTAAATAGAAAATGAAAGAATTATTTGATTCTAACGTTAACTTAAGAATAAAATAATCCTTCCCGTGACTCAAAACGCGAAGGAATTGAAATGTTCTATATGAAATAGTATGTTCAAAAGTAATATAATTGTCGAACTGAACCTAAAAATGTAATAATGGATTTCATTGGTTGGAACAGAATATTTACAAATAATATTATCGTGTCGGTGATGGTATATAGAAGTGGATATCATTCTTTTTTTTCAAAAGTAGTTACTGTTGATTTTCGTTGTGGATCCATTGGATCTGGCAGCCAAGTTCTTAGGAGAATGTCCGAGAAAGCAATACACTCTTCTTAGATTGTTGTAGCTTTTTGTAATCATGTCATGAGTATTAGATGAAATATTTTACCTGAGTATTCTCGGTTTAATTTATTTAAAATAAAAGAATCGTATTAATGTACGAGAAAAATTAAAAAGTTTGTGGATATAAAAGATAATGGAAGAGTTTTTATAGTAGTTTTGTAAATATGATTATAATGCATGAGAAGGAACGTGGAGTTGGTAATCTAGATACGAATGAAAAGAAAAAAAACGTTTAGCTTTTATTTGTCTTTTTTTGAGCTATTTAAACATGATGATGTCGATCCATCAGGACTACATCTTTTCTTTTTTCTATAAATTCAGCAATTCGATTTGTTTAAATAATCGAAATACGAAAAATAATAATTTAAGTTTAATATGATCAATGCGTAGATTGTAGCAAAAATTTCACAAAAATTAAATCAGCACTAGATAAAGTAATGAATGTAATGTGAAAAGAAAGACAAAAGACTTGCACGTCGAATAATTGCTGCTATGAATTCAGCAATATGTTTCGTTACAATAGTCAAAATACAATAGTAATAAGATTGAAGATAAAATTTCAAATAATTAGTTAAAGGTGAAACGAAATGATAATATTAACAGAAAATATAACGTTATAATTAATTATTTTTCGAAGAAAGACAATCTTTCTGAGAGGACAACAGTAAATAATTTGCAAGTTCGTTATCAGAATCACAAGAATCTGATTAGAAAAGATAATAAGCGATGAATACAATAAAAATTTTACTAAAATCAATTCAGACGTTTATCGATGCGACGCCAAGAGGAGTCGTTTCTGTACGGTTTGCCATGAATGCATTATCATCACTAGGTATATAACGAAACCTTTTAAAAATTTGGAACTCTTAAAAGTGTATTACAAAACCTAAGATGTTGCATTAAACGTCGTGCAGGTTTCGTTTGGCACCTTTTTATTCGATGTAGGACTATGGACAAAAATGCAAGTGTGACGACCGGTGAACCTTCCCTACAACATCCTACTCATTCACATTGTGAAACCTGTTATTACCTATTATTACGTACCAAATGTGTAAAAAAGTCTAGGAATTCGAGAAGCTCGTACTTAATAAACTTTACAAGGACATACATTCTCATGACGTGCATGCGTATTTAATGTATCTATGATTATACACACTAATAAATTCTTCATCTTGGAGATTAGAAGACATCCTTTAACTATTTTAATTAGAAAAACAACAAATCATACTGAATTCGAAAATACAGAATTAGGAGCATATAATAATGGATGATGCTACACGAACATAATTCTTGATAAAAGATCAAAGTTTTCGATAAGTCTTCAAATGTTTTCATTGAAGGTTTTTATAAATCATCCGAAATTGAAAACCAGGTGACTAATGATCAAGACGAAGCATATAGTGATCATGAAGACGATGCGGATATAACAATGGTCGATGAAAAATTTTCGCAAGATGATGCTAAAAATCCACCTTCACCGACTCAAAACACGTAAGTTTGAAGATCAACAATGACTGACATTAAATATGTCATTGGTATGCACAGATTAAGAACAGCTTGGCGATTGCTTGGTAAAAATCGTCTCGAATTTGCTAATGATGTGCGAAAACTTTACAGTATGATCCGTCAAGAAGAGTATGAAGCCAAAGGCAAGAGGCTTCCTGTAGGTGAACTCTTGAGTTTGGATGAAGAAAAATTTCTTGGACAATATTTATTGAAACTTGCTACCTGTCTTACAGCTACTTTTCGAGAAAATATTTGTGTTTTCAACATCAATACATCAAAATCCTTGAAGCATACAATTTACCATGCTTTCGTTCAAGGTAAGCCGGTATAAATAATCCATTGTTTTTATAGAGCTTATTGTAAAACTGTATTGTGTATTCTTGCGAAGCGGCAAAGAAAAAAAAGATTTCTCTAAGCAGTGTATATGTGAGTTCTATAAAAAAAAAAGCCAGCTCTGTGATACGCTTTTCATTGTTAGCAAGAGACAATCTTTCACGGACTAACAAGTCTCTTACGACTATCAATGATCAAGTACATCTAGCACTTCGCTGGAGTATTGCCGATGCTAGTGAAAACCAGTTAGTGACTACTACAAGGATCTGGAATGATACGACTAAAGTAGGTTATATATTATGTTTTTTTTTGACGTATTAAAATACATTTGTTTCATTCTAGATTGCACAAAACCGATTGCTTCTGATTGATGCACTCAGCAAAAATTTGCTTGTGTTCGTCGGCAATTTCGTCAAACTCGACATTGATATTACTGTTTTATTTGGTCCTGCTAGTGGTTCATCGACAGCAGTTAATAATAGTTGGTCTCGTAAACATCAGTATTTGAAAGATTTGTATTCGGAGACAAGACGTAAAAATGTAAGACAAATGTAGTTTTGAATTGAATGTTTACATTATAAAAACCTTGGTTTTTTTTATGCAGTGGCATCCATTGTATTTACTTGATCAGATCAGTAAAAAGCTCAATTTCAAAGAGGAAAAACATTTAGCTATTGTTTTCAAAAGACTGGTAGGTGATTTCATGCACCCGATTTACGAGGATCAAGCAAAATTTGGATCGATACCATTTAAATCAGAAGAAAATGCTAATATAGAGAAGATGGATGCTGAATACATTTATCGCGATCTCTTTCTCTGGTGTGTGCTAACCTACCGACTTGGAATGGCCAAAATTTTTCTGAGTCAAATGAAAACTCGTATTTGCTCGGCACTGATTGCTTCGAAAATTTTAAAATCCCTAGCAGCCTATGCACCAGATCAAGTTGCAAAGGAGACACTGTTTTCCAAAGCAGCCGATTTCGAAACTCATGCTATCGAATTCGTACGATGTTCTTACTTATATGACAAATCCCGAACATGTGAATTGATTATGCGACGTGTAGATCTCTATGGAGGTATTACATGTCTTCAAATGGCCATCGCCGCTGATAATAAGAAATTCCTATATGAAGATGCTTGTCAAGCTCTATTAACGAATATATGGTATGATAAAGTCGATCCTGTTAGAGAGCAAACTCGCCTTGTTGTTAACATATTTACATTGGGAATCTGGCAACTTTTCATATCGATCTATGATAAGCGCTTTTCTAAACATGCTGTGAAAACACAAACAACTAATGTAAGTTAAAAAGTGTCTGCGCAATATATACATATGATTTTTTCTTTTCATTGATAGACGACCACATCAGCATGCTCAAAACGACGGTAAGTGTTTAGTATAACTAACCAAAATTCAATACAAAAATAACTTAGATTGAAAAAGAATGGTATCGATTACACAGACAATTATGGAATCAATGAAACAGTACTCCAAAATTTTTTCCATTTTCACAATCGACCCATTGTCAAATATTGCTATACTTGCGTAAGTCAAATATGATATAGTTTGATTTTTATTATATTGTTATATGAATTGTTACAGTTCGGCTATGCCCTCTTCCTGCTCTTCTTCAGTTATTATATGCTTTATGCATTTGATCCACCTTCAAACAGCACTCTCGCCATTCATTGGACTGAAGTATTAACGATCATCATCGTAACTACTATGCTCTTCGAAGAAGTTCGACAGGTCAGTGTTTTTTTTCATTTTAGTATGACTATATTAAATCTATGTCTTTGACTTATTAGTTCTTCTCTCAAGACTATTCATCACTAATGAGCAAGATATATGCCTATTTTGATTTGAATAATCGAGTATCCAATTTGTGTTTGGTTCTGCCATCATATCTTCTCTTCTATGTCGGACTTGCGCTTCGTTTTACACAAACAGATCCCGAACATTTTGCATTTGTGAGGTATAGTTCATGATTGTTTTAATATTCAATGCGTTCCATCATATTTCTATAGAATAGTGATGGCTTGTGACTTGGAATTATGGTATATTCGTTCGATTTTGTTCATCGGTATTGCTGCAAATCTTGGTCCTAAATTGGTAATGATTCGAAAAATGGTACGTCTATTGGACGAGGATTATTATCTACTGTATTGATTCCCTTGTAGACAACTAATCTTCTATTATTCATTATAATCATCGTTATTTTTATTTTCGGCTATGGGATCACATCAAGATCCATGATAGCTTATGGCGCCGTCGATTTCAGCACCCGACATTTTTTTCGTACTGTGATTTATCCAGTTTATTATTTTGTTCTAGGCAGTTTTGATAGTGAACTTGAAAAGTTGAACGGTACAAATATTCCATAGGAAAAAAAACGAGTAAATTTTTATCTCTATATTTACTTATTTCTCTCTTCAGGCAAACCGGATTCTAATACTAATATTGCCACTCATGTCCTATTTGCTTTTCATATGCTTTTCGTCAATATACTATTGATTAACTTATTGATTGCCTTGTTCAGGTATGTAAAAACGAGGAAGTTAACCTAAATAATCATTTGTACGAAACATCGTTTAGTTTCACAATAACTGACATTCAAACACAAGCACGTTATATTTGGGCCTACGACTGTTGTGATATCATTCGTAATTACCATGCTCGGCCAGCTTTGTTTCCTCCGTTCACTTTTCTCATCTCAATTGTACAATGGTGTCAATGGTGTTTGCGAATGTTTTACAGAAATTGCTCTTCTAGAAAAAAATCTCATCGTGAGCCATCGAGATGTTTCAGTAAGCAGTCCTATAAGTTTTGACATTCACAATCAGATAAATGAATATTTCATTGAAGCGTTTACATGTTTATCTAATTATATATATTTTTCAGAAATGATTCCCATTGATGATACTGTTGATTACGCATGGTCAGAATTCGAACGATATTCAACGAATGATTACATTCGACAATTACTCGATGTTCAAGCCACTGATCTTGCAAATGCGATGAACATAGACATTACGTGAGTTTTGAGAATTTCTTTTTATTCATTGAGAAATTTTAGCATTAAAATTCAAATTATTTTCAATGAAAAATACTAGAATCTGATTGCTATTGAAAAGTTATGATTTTCAGAAAAAAATCAGCTTACTAGTCGATTGGTTTTAATCTTTAGGCAACCATTACGT